AGAGCCTCCAGCTCTTGCCCCATCTGTAAGTTTCCAGCAACAGGTTACTTTAAAAAAAAAAAAAAACACACACAAAAAAAAAGTAAAATTTGGCACTGAAACAGGAAATATGTGAACCTGTCACAGTAAGCAGTCTCAAAGGGCAAGCTGCTTTGCAGGAGCTAATTAACCTTAGGAAATAATTACACAAATATGCAAATGTTGTTTAGATAATTCCATGTGTTATCAACTCAGGTAGTCCATCATAACTGCAGACCTTGCAGTGTCTAGGTGTTAGAATCTGGCATAGTTGATAAGGCTTCGGTTGCTGCATCACTTCGGCTTGGTATTTAACAATTAATGACTGTGGTATTATATTAGTAAATTCAACCTGTTTTTTGAATGCAGCAGAATGTAACACCATATTCACTGTGTGCACACTGCTTATCTGTGTATTCCTAATGGCTCCAGCCATTAAAATGTTACATACCTTTCAACTCTTAGCGCTAGCAATACTGGAAAAAATGACAGACCAAAATCTGTGGCCTCCTTCTCCACTTTCTTACACGATGGAGGTCCTGAGAAGTTTACCCACAGTCACTTTCGTTTTTCAGGGACTTAAAAACTATTACAGAGAGAATTTTAAATCTGTAAGCTGGTTTTCTCAAAGCAAAACCTCTTTATGAAACAAGACAAGGAGCAGCATTCTATACAAGTGTCTTCCTGTTAGCATTGCGTAGACCCCAAAACAGCATAGTCATGGGCTGCCATTCTTGGTGTAAGGTCCCTCCAAAACCGAGCCCAGTTGGTCTAGGCTGGAGCAGCCCAGGACATCCCTAATCCGTGCCAGGACTTGAGTTGAGGCCGAGCAGTTCAGTGACCAACAACCTCTTCCCTACTGCAAACTGCTGCTTAAGGCAGCTGTAGGAGAGGTTCTGGCCCTGAGATATTAAATGGCTTCATATCTATGAGAAGATGAATTTGTTAATCATTGTCATATTATTTTCATAGGCTGTACTATTGAACTATTTGATTAAACTTTTGATATTAAAATTAAAAGCTCCATATTAACCATTTATGACCATTTATTGAGTAATTGCTATTTTGGCTTTAAAAGTGAGGCATTTTTAATACACTGTTAAGAGATAATGTTTAAAAAATACGAAAAAAAAGCGCCTTTTGTCACTAGAAAAGGAATCTGTTCTTAAACCAGTGTTTGTGAATACTCATCTCTTCCACATTTTCATTGGAGTTGCAAACTTTTGAGGATCGTTTCTCATTCAAAGGAATATGTCCATGCAGCAAGAGCGTCTTCTTGATTAGCACCATGCACCTGTCATTGACTGGTCAGAACCTAATGTCTAATATTCTATATTACTTTTACGGTTGCCCGTTTTACAGCAGGTTCCAGAAGTCCGTGCCTCCTCTAGCATTCAGGAAAAGGAAGAAATATAACATCAGCAGTCTAAAATTCCTCAGCAATACTAGCATTAAATGATTTTAACCACCTTTATCTCCAAGGCCATCCTCAGTGGGATTTGCTGCCTGCAAGTATGACAGGTGTTCAATATCTGATAGTCTCCGTAGCATTGGTAGTCACTGACGGCCAGTGAGGTGTATTAGCTCTGTTTTTATCAGTGAAAAGAACTACAATGCAATAGTTATGAGGAAAAAGATATGGACGTCTTTTCATTTATTAGTGAGTTAAAGGGTACATCTTACAGGTAGTGTTCTGTTAAAAACAGAGGCAGGTAAGATTTTGCATGATGGGCACACAGGTGAAGGTTGCACCTTCTGTGCTCAGAGCACCTGCTCCGTTCCCCACCCAAGCACACAGAGCTGGGGAGCAGGACTCCAATCAGGAGGTACCTGATCTGCAACAGTCGGATAATTTCCTATTTTTCGATTACTTTGCATTGGTTAATAAGCATCACATGGAGGCCTTTTCACATAACATCATTCTTAATTTTTATTTTGTTTTATTTCTAATTATATGTATTGGAGGGGTGAGTGTTAGATTTTCAGAGGGACAGAGACCCACAGCTATGACTTGCACACTTCTGAAGAATCAGACCACTTATTTAGACATAGAATTACCCGTTACAGATGACTACCTTCCAGCAGCTGGAAATTTAAGTTCGGTATTCCCTGCACCTTTCCATCTCAATCCGTTGCACAGATGAGAATGCATTCAGCCTCAGCTGCCTTCTGAAGTACATAGTGTGATTTCTGTATTCCTTTCTGTGCAGTCATTTAGATAATTATGTAAAGCACGAACAAGAGGCCCCCACTTTATCAAATAATTTAACAAGGTGGTATATAAGTGCATTCTGTTTAGCTGCAATGAAAAGAGGGAAAGCAGCAGCTGCCTGAAACTGTCACCTTTCATACTGAAACTGCACCATCCAGCCTCATAATTTAGCCCAGGCCAGACAGAGGAGGTTAATCCTCATGGACCCAGCGCCATTCCAAATCCCAAGGAGACCGGCCATACTCTGTAGTCGGCAGTGCCCGCTCCCACAGCCAGATGTTTCTTGTGCAGACACGGCGCCCGTTTATTCTGCGTCCAAGTTGTTTAAAATACAGGCTTGTTAACAAGGGGGAAAAAATAAGCAGATGCTCTGAAGAAAGAGCTTTTCTTCTAAACATACACGACTCCTTCTCACACATATATGCTTTACTTAACCTTGTTTAGGGTTTAGCCAAGTATATGCAGCAGCACAGTTTATCCTGACATTTTATGGCTTTTTTTCACCACTAACAAAGGAAACTGTAGTTACAGTCTATATCTAACTCATTCTAGCTCATTTGTTTTTTTCTTTTATAAAATCCTGTTGAGTCTTTGTGCTGGACTGTGAAGCTGTGCAGTTAATGATTTGGTTTACTAGACCACTGGTTATGCTTTAATTGGTGGAAGCGTTTTCGGGCTGAGTTTCTGAATCCTTCAGAAGCGTCTTGCTGCTCAGTCTTGTGGAAACCGTAAATTTGTGTGCTTTTCCCAGCTGCGTGTAGAATAAATACAAAATACCTGAAAGTATCATATTAACCAGAAGCAACCTCTTCTTTTTGTCAGCATTAAGGCAGGGTTGTGTACTTGTACAAAAATTGCTGTTAAGAGAATTAATGGGAACATTATTATTTAAAAACAAGTATCTCCTGCGTATTTAACTAAAATAAATCTTTTAGATAAACTACTAATTTAAAAACTCTCCCAGTGTTTTAATGTGCCTTTTCCATACATAGCATAATTAGAATACGTCACTTTTCTGTAGGCAACTCTAGTTCAAGTTCTCCTTCAGCTGTATCATAATAACTGGTCTGTCAATCATATTTTCCTTATGAAATTTCTTTTTAAAAACTTCCCTCTTTCCTCAGAAAGGGAGGAGTCTATACCTCCTTTACCTGTCTCCACAATCAAATTTCAGAACAGGGTTGAAAGAAAATAAGCCCTTTCTCATGCTGCAGTGGTTTACAATAGTTGATAAATAATTAGTTAAAACTGTGTTCTGTCGTAGTCAATCAAGAGCAGAATCTTTCCAGGATTAAGAAGGATACTTCAGAGCACTTCAGTGCTTTTTGGCAAATTCGATAAATATGTTTTAATCACTGCTACCTTAGAGAAAAAAAAATTTAAAAGCACATAATTGTTTTAAAAGCTTTGGATCCAGATCAGTAAAGATTTGTAGCCGTCTTGCTCTTATTTAGGAAACCGGGCATGAGAATAGAAATAAAAGGCTAAATCCACCACGTGATTTAGTTGTCTGTCTTCCCATTGATTTTAGACACACGTAAGAGCTTAAATTCCCAAAACTGAGTTGCAGAACGGGACTAAGACCTAAATCACTTCAATGTTCTTGGTAAAGTGACAGTAATTCACACTATGTAATTAGCATCTTCTGATCACTGGTGGCTTTTGCTGGTTTGTGCTTTATTTTCCCCAAGGAAATGAGGCTTTTGTGGTCTGTGCCTGAGTCACCCAGGGGTGTGTATGAAGTTGCTGGTGGAGCAGAGTAAAGGGGAAAGGGATGCAGATCTTAGGAAATTACATGACCTTTACCAATCAGATCTTTCTGGCAAAAAAGAGCCTGGAAAGCACCTGCGGTGTCATGCTAGAGGTGTGAAGTCCTGGTGAGGCGGGGATGCTAGCAGAGCAACTTACTCCTGTCACCTGAGACTAGACAGATTTGTAGTTACGACACGGACAGCCTGAGAAATAAGTAAAATATAGAAGGGTACAGGGCTTTCCGAGAGCCTCAAAGGTAGAGGTGGGAGTGCACAACCCCAGTGTTAGAAGAGAGTGCGCTAAAATCAGTGTAAATCACTATAGTGCCTTCAGCGACTCTTACTTTGGCTGGTGTTCACAAATTATTCTTCAGTAATAAGAAAAAGCACTCCCCTAACTACCGGAGACTCCAAAATAATGGCTAATGCATAAGCTGTCAAGAGATGTTTCACCTGCGCTGTATCTCATAGTCGGCAGTTGCAAAAAGTACCATTTAAAAGAGTAGCTGCAAATACTGTAATTTTAATCTTTGGCAGATTTCCGTTGGCCCATAATATGAAAAAATTGTGAAGAGTGAAATTATATTTATATTGTTCATACGTGTTTTTGTTTGTTTTATCAGACTAAGGCTTAACTACTTTAAACAAACCATCAGTGAACAAACGTTTGACAAAGAGTTGTCAAAAGAAAGAAAATCAGAGCCATGGCTCGTAATTTTCTTGAATGCCTCTGCTTAGCTGAATTGCCATCATGGTATTTAGACAAAATTTTGCAGATGCATAATTTTTGTTGTATTTATTAAAATAAGCCACAATAAAGCAACAGTTTTGCTGCCTTTAAATTGCAATCTTAAATTTCTTTTATTTAGGCAAATGAATCTGTTCTTTTCTTGATGCTAGAATATATTCATTTGAGGTTTGTTTTAACAAAACATTTTAACATATAGGAACATGTTGCTTTTAGACAGAATTGCCAGTTTTTAAATGGTAATTGTCACAAATATAATTTCTTTCTGCAGGATAATGGATCTCCTGAAGAACATGCAATTTATGTTTGGGACCATTTTATTTCCCAGTCAGCTGCAGAGAACGTGTTTTTTGTTGCTCACAGTTACGGTGGACTTGCCTTTGTAGAGTTGGTAAGTGTGACTTCTCCATTGCCCTCTTTCCTGAAGTCTTTCACAGGTTTTCTGAATTCTTTGTGATCACCTTCTTGAAAGCACCCATTTAGGCACGACTTTGAACCCATGGTCAGATACAGATCGGTGAGGGTTTCTTTGTCACTGGAAGGTCTCCGTATTTTGCTCTGGTTTTGAGTTAGACAATAAGGTCCCAAGTGTGCATGAACCTGAAAGACTGTGGGAGAAAAAATGCGTGGAATCTTCCTTGCCCAGGCTATGTACCGAAAGGCAGCACTCAATGACTTTCTGCTCTGGGGCAGAAAGAGTGGAGATGAAGACCGAGAGTGCGTAAAAACAGTTTTAAAGCAAAGTCACATTAACTAATGCACCTTTTTGTATATAGATTGGAACTGAACATGGGGGGAAATTTGGGAGTTTTACCCATATTTGCAGGTTTTCTGCAAAGGTCTGCAGAAGTTGCTGGGAAGACTTTTTTTGGCACGTATTAGGCCCTGGATAAACCCTGCAGTGACGTAAGGCAGGGGAGGACTCTGCTTAGTGTAAAGCTGCCAGACCCCCAGTGCTGGGACTGCTGAACATCCAGTCTGCCCATCCTTCACCCTTTTCTCTAAAGGCATATTTGTTGACCCCATCTGGTATACGAAGTTGCATGTTGAACTTGTATGAACTTCTTTGAGTTTAGCTGTAAACTTCTCACTTAATCGTGAAATGTTGGTGTCATCACGACATGTTTTATTGAAGAAAAGTTAAGAAAAAAGTCCTTTTTATTGTGGAAACGTAAATCGCAGAACATTGCAATTGGTTTTGTAGACACAGGAATCAGCAGACATATGTGTACATATTTTGTCTATAACCCATTAGTTTAGAAGTTAGTAGAAGTGGTTCCTGCCTGAGTGTAAGAAGAATGCCTTTGTTAAGAAAAAGTATGCGTGAGTGTTTTGGTTTTAATCAGTGTTTTGGTTTTAATTTATTTATTTTTTAATTTAAGAGCAGGTTGATTTGTAAGATTTTTGTTGACCCTTTTCGTTTGTAGAAGTTAAGGCCATTTTGCTTTTTCTGTGCTTCCAGAAGAGTATTTTTTTAAATATGTATGACATGTACAGATTTGAGACATGAGAACAGTTCAGCTGATCACTTCCCACAGGTATTTTATTACCAGGTCAATAAATAGTCTCAAAACTAAATTTTTAAGAGACTAGATTAGCAGAGATGAATAATTCCTTCCTTAACAACAACTTTGGGCAAGAAACGGGTTGCGTGGCATGTGCCTGTTGCTCCTCAGATGCAATGAAGCGTAGGGAGCATCTCCTCTCTCTCGGCTTTCCTGAGCTGTGATTTTCAGCTGCCGTGTGTTTCAGCCCAGGTTGTTCTGGTGTGCCTCGTCTGTCCAAAGTGAAGCATTAGCAGAATTTCTGTAGGTTTTGTAAAACCACGTTGTTTGGGTCACTGGACGCCTACAGATACATACACTTAGCACAGGGGGAAAATAAAAACCAAGTGGGGACCTTTGTCAGTGTTTCCTAAACCAAGTGCTTATTCGAAGGAGGCTTGGAGAGTTTTTCTATCACGTTTCAGTCAATGGCTTGAGGTGGCATGGGTAACAGATGACCAACGTGTCATTCCCATTTTGCCTGTTTCTCTTGTCACACTGGTGGATATTTCTTCACTTTTGTTCTACTTTAATATGAAGCACACAGATGTTTCAGAACAAGACTTGACTTCTGACCTTGGGGCTTCCAGGGTCAGGGTGCTCAGGGCCTGTGAAATTATCACAAGCTGAGCTAAAGTTTTTATCCATCGCAGGAAGCAACCAGTAAGTAAGAAGCTAAAAAGGAGCTTTGTCAGAGAGACAAGATGGTCTCAGTAAGGGTCAGCTTCTGTAGTCTGCTGTCTCTGCAGGAGTTGCATGCCTGAGAGGAAGAATATAATGTATAACCATTGGCACATCACATATTTGTCATGCAAAACTAGACCTGAGAAGTATATTTAACATAGCCCAATTGTTTTTTTAAAAAATATCAAAGGATGTTAACAACTGGGTTTGGTGGAGGTGGTTTGATATCTGAGCTCCACTGAAAACAGTTTCATAAAATAGTACATGCACTGAAGTAGATAGCATTGCAATAAACCCTAAACTATTTTGCCACAATATTAATTTGTAAGATTTTATTTTGCCATGATCTTGTTTCTCTTCAACTTTATATCCATATGGCATTTAGCAATTGCAAAGAGCTCAAAAAAAAAAAAAAAAAGAAATGGAGCAGCTGATGGGCAATTACTGTCTTATGACAAACACATATTCGATCACTTCACTGCCTTTCCTGCTTTGTGTGGGGGAGATGATGAGGGTGATAGAGCAGCTATACCATACCACCTCTACACTTGCTGTGCAAGAATTTGGGGTCAACTGATTCATAAACCATAGGTTACGGTAGTTATGGAGACCTGTTGCACAGCTGCTCCTTCTGCATCCGTGCCTCTTGCAGGAGAGCTGTGTGAAGCATATGGCTTTCATTTGGAGTGAAGGTTTCCGCCTGGGCCCTCTGCGTTTTATTGTGCCTGCAGGGAAAAAGAAAACGAGCAAAAACGTCCAAAAACATTTGCGCTTTCAATAAATATCTTCTAAATTCACTTTGCGTGTTCAGTGCTTCGAGGTCTGTCCCGATTGTTTGCAGTCATGTCAGTTGCTCAGAGATCCCCAGCTCATCACTTCGTCAGGGTGCAAGGCTCTCAATGGGAACCTGACACTCCAGCATTAAGCAGAGAAACTCAACAAAACCTGTTATTAAGCAAAGACTTGTTGGTTGTACCATCACGTGGGAAGAGCTGCTGCTCTCCCGGAGCAGTGTGGAGAGGTGTTCAGCCTTGCAGGGGCAGGACACGTCCAGGTCCCCCTTTGTTTGCAGCTGCTAAAGGAGCTGGCACACAAAAAACAGCTCTGCTCTGCCTCATCCCTTTGCTCTGCAGGTTTCTGAAGCCCAGTGCTGGGATGTGGGCGTGCGTTTTGGTGGGAAACTCGAAGTGAAAAGAGAGCAAATATGACCATTGTATTTGAAATGGGTGTAAAAGGAGGAGCATTTTTGCTTCCAAATCTTTGGTGGCCAAACCTGGTCTTCATTCCAAATTTCCTCTCACTGTAAAAATCAAGCTATCTTTTGGAAGTCCTTCATTAAACAAATCAGTAAAACTTGGCTGCAATTTTCAAATGCATGCCACAGAATCTAACATTTTTATTGGTCTTTGCAGCTTTTTAATCTACATTTTTGCATGTCTGTGTTTGTGAGATGTTAGGAAAAACAGGGTGAGTCTGTAATATCGTGCTTGAATGCACAGAAACTGTTACCCAGTTACTGCAACGTAGGCACATGATTTCTGTACCTTGCTGGGTCATAGATTACTAGGGGAATAATTGAAAGTGATTGAACATGTGTGAAAAGTAAAGTTCCACCAATAAATGTAATTAGTTGTATTGTTTATAGCTTGAATTACAAATGCTAATCATAAACCATATGTTAAAATGTATCTTAATATTTAGTAATTAAGACAGTGTAATTGTGGCTTGAAATTAAATGTGCATCTAATAATATCTACACGTAAATTACTTTTTGAATAAACAGCACTAAAAATAGTTGTTGGGTCACTGTGTTCTGCTAATTACTGATTTTGAAAAATTCATGCCATGATTCATGAACACATCTCAGCTTCTTACTTCTGTTATCCCTTACACAGTGTAGTCAGGGATTTATTTTCAGAAGCAGCTTGCTGTATTTGATGGTAAATTGTGGAACTTTCCCAACTCCTAGCTTATAATAATTTCATGAAATTTAACAGAAAGTGAGAATTTCAAGTTGATGGAGTCAATTTTATATTTAGTTTACAGAAAATAAGTTTCTGGTACAACGCCTCCTTTGAGTTTCTCTGCCAAATTTTGTGGGTTTACAATTATTTTGCTTTATAAAGAATGTTTTTGCTTGTAATTGCCTGCATGAAAGACCCACACAGGGGTTATATATTGCGCCCCCATGCCTACCTGAGTGCTGTGGCCATCCCCTGCAGATCTAATTACAGCATCAGAGTAGATGGCTGCGTGTAGAGGGGACAGAAAGGGTGGTCCTAGGATGCTGGATGACATGTAAAAACTAGCCATGTCCATCATTGTAAAAAACACATGACAACTACTTATTTTGGAATCACGAGAAGAATTATTAAATCTAAGCTTTCAAAATTGTCAATTAGGTATTCAGTATCCTGAGATTTAAAAAAAAAAAAGAAAAAATATTTCATGGAAAATTTCTCCTGTTTGTCTCCTATATTCCTGATACCTTCAACTTTGCAATCTGAAGGGTCTCCTTATGACCACAAGTGTAGATTTTTTGTTTTAATTTTAGTTAAATAAAATCTTTAAGAAAAAAAAAAACACCAATATCATGGAAATTGTGACAAGATTGTAAGAATTGGTAGTGGTATCTCCAGCTTACAGCATTCATACTGCTGTAAAAATACAAAGCACACTGGGGAATGTAATATAATTAAATTAGGAGAGGGAAAGTAGGTTGATTGTCTTTAAGCAGATGAGAAACTATTCATTATGGTCTTTGTTGGCTAAAATGTTGGGATGTATATATTGACAGTTCGCACAGAGGTGTAGATAAAAGTGTGTGCATGTGTGTATTTTTAGGCAGCTTTGTTAAAATGAGAGCCCTTAAAACACACTGTTCAAATTACTGTATCCACTGTAGCGTCCTAATTCCATCAAAATCAGCCAATTTTGTCCATTTGAAATAATTTTAGGTCCGTCATTTTGAGATATGCTCTGCGATAGGCTGCCACTTCATTTTGTTGTATTGTACTGAGTACGGTGAGGACCTGACCCTGGCGAGAGCTGATAGGTGCCATAATAATAATGATGATAAACAGACACCTGCTGAGCTACCTGGGTGTCTCTGAGGCTGCATCAGTATTCTGGCACAGGCAAAATGCAATTTAAGAGCCTTAAT